AGTGACTTTGAGTAGATTTTGAATTTAATATAGATCTTGATTTTTAATAACCATCATAGCAAGAGCTAGTTGGTGAATGGTATCCGCGAATTTCGGCTTGAAAGTTGGGAAACTTTGTCCGAATGTTAAACTATTCGGACAAAGTTTCCCGCTGTTTGCGAAGGAATTGTTGGCTATGATGTACTGATTCATGATCAGTACATCATAGCCAACAATTCCTTATACAAAGTTCAAAAACTTGGGTGCAATCAGAACTGATTGCACCCAAGTTTTTGAACTTTCTCGAGGGAATGAAAGGGTAAGAGGTATACATTATGAATATATACCTCTTACCCTTCCATTCCCTCTCTGACAGCGGGAAACTTTGTCTGAATGTTAAACTATTCAGACAAAGTTTCCCGCTGTTTGCGAAGGAATTGTTGGCTATGATGTACTGATTCATGATCAGTGCATCATAGCCAACAATTCCTTATACAAAGTTCAAAAACTTGGGTGCAATCAGAACTGATTGCACCCAAGTTTTTGAACTTTCTCGAGGGAATGAAAGGGTAAGAGGTATACATTATGAATATATACCTCTTACCCTTCCATTCCCTCTCTGACAGCGGGAAACTTTGTCTGAATGTTAAACTATTCAGACAAAGTTTCCCGCTGTTTGCGAAGGAATTGTTGGCTATGATGTACTGATTCATGATCAGTACATCATAGCCAACAATTCCTTATACAAAGTTCAAAAATTTGGGTGCAATCAGAACTGATTGCACCCAAGTTTTTGAACTTTCTCGAGGGAATGAAAGGTAAGAGATATCCATTTCCTTTCACCTTCGTTCTCAATAATTAACTTATAAATTTTTTAAAGCAAAAAAAGTCTGATTTTTTTTGACAAGTAAATATATAGGGAATTTATCCGACCAAATAAGTGTCACTTTTTCGGTTCACCTCACTTTCCGTAACTCGTCTTACAACAATTTTTTTATAAAATTTTATCTCATATGAAAGAACATGAATTTAGAATATTCGGAACTCATGACAGAAGAAGAGAACGAACAACATGTAAAAGATTATGCAAAATTTCTGAAGACATACAAAGCATTTAAACAATATCTAAATGCTTCTAAAGATTATGCAAAATTTCTGAAGGTATATAAAGCTTATGAAAAAGCGTATGAAAAGTTTATACATTGGGGAATTGTTGTAAAATATCGATATGAAGACTAACCAAAAATATATTTTTGCTTAAATGAGTCAGGGTCAATTTCTTCAACCATTTCACTTCCTTCGTCAATGTCAATAGAAGCTTCTTCAACCTTTGGTAGAGCTTCTGTATAACATCTTTGTTCGTTATTGTCTTCAGAGATGAAGGATAATATTTCACATTTGTTTCACCTTTCTTATATTCTTTCTGCTGCGATAAATCTAAAACAATACTGAAGAAGTCAATATTAGAGTTCTTTATAACAGTATAATGAGTATCTTTGACATTCACGAAGAAACTCTTTTGTTTCAAAACTACTGCTAACTCTTGTGAAGTATAACGTTTGCGGTCAATGACGATAGCTAATGGTCTGACATACTGACCAAACTTAGATTCTTTCACAAACTTCTTGTTAAAGATAACATTAACATTTGAAGCATTATTGAACTCATTCTTGATGGCAGTAGCGAGAGTATTGTATGAAAAGAACTTGCAATCTTGCATGTGTTTCATTAAAATAAAAATATTAAATTATTTTGAAAAATAACTTAAAAAAATCTAATCTAATTTTTTCAAAAAATATTTTTTTATTTCCTACTAAAGATGTATCGGAAGTTGTCTAAGTTAGAACACTCGGAAATAAAACAACTTCTTACAGAAGCTAATATAGATGTTGCAAAGCATTACGCAACAAACAAAAAGGCACTCGCTGACATCCTCAATGACTATAATGGTGCAATAAGTTATGATAGAATTCATGAGTTCATAAAGCCGCAACGCGGCGAGGACGAAGTCCATGCAATAGCATTTCCTTTAAATGACGTTGCTATTGACTTATATCATAGACGTTCAGTACCTCATGAAGTAAGAAGAGAAATGTTTGAC